GCCCGTGCGCTCACGTCTGGGCGCACTCCAGGCAGACAGTTCCGGGGCGCATGAGTAGGCGCAGCGGGGCGGCATGGATCGAAGGAGATGGCGCGGCATCTGGCGTGCGCGATGATATATGCATGTTCGCGCATAACTTCGCACCACCGTGCAACGCGCACAATGTGCACCACGGGCCAGGGGCAAATGTCCGGGAGAGACGTGGGATGTAAGTCGTACTTGTGATAGCGACGCTTTGCGCACTTATGTTTGTATATATGTATGTATGTATGCATGTATTACTATATATGTATCCATCGCTCACGCGCGACATTCACGGGTGCGCTTTGCTCGCCCACGCAATCTCATTGTCAAAGCGCACACGCGTCTCCGCGATAGCGCAGACGGCACGCGCGCACGAAAAGTGCGTCAGATGTCAGATTCGCACAGATCATATCTCATCTATCATAGATGTGATCGGAAGCCACATATGCATACACATTGCACCAGCGGAAACACAGAAACAAACATGCAACATGCAACGCGCGGGACAACACATGTTGATGCCACAGCAAGAGGGCAAGGACTGCCTACTATGGCAAGGGGCCACGCGGCAGCCCCACCTAATATCTACGAAGGGACAGCAGCGGGGGCGGCGCCAGCGGGCGCGACGCCCAGCACAATCTCGCTCCAAGCAGCTAGGTGGGCAACCTCGTCCCAATAGTTACTCTGCCTGCTCAAACACGCGCCGCAACGATCTGCATCTTGCCCTAAAATCAAGACTATGCGTTGCCATATTTGGCAATCGCGGTGATTTGGGTGGTGACACATCGCATGGGCCGACAGGTCCTTCCAAGCGGGTCACAATCTAACCTGCCGAACTTCTCTGCACTGAGCGAAAGGATATAGCCACCTTTACCATGCAGAAAAGGTCGAGGTGGACCAAGGGCTGCAGCTCCAGGCAACCTCCATTCCGTACTTTCGTACATTCCCCCTCAGCACGCGCGCGACGCGCATGCGCTGCGCTGCATCACCGCAGCTGCCGACTGTCGAATAGGTGGAGGGGGATAGGGAGATCGCGTCACACGTGGAGGACGATAGACGATAGGGGCTCAATATTAGCCAGATGCGAGACAGGATCCGTGAAGAGGGGATGAGGAGCAGAGCAGGGAGAGCGAGATGGGCAAAGACGAAAAGGGGCGATGAGAATCGACGGCTGTCTCACAGACCCCAAACCCCCCGCCCCCCCCACCTCCTCCCCCACCTTGTATCTATACCCCCTATCCCCCCCCTCTCCCGCCCCCACCCCCGCCCGCGCCATTCCCGGCCCCCTCCCCCCACCCCCCGCCCTCCATCACCCCCCTTCCCCATCGCCCCCACCCCCCCCCCCCCCGCCCCCCGCGCTCGCCGGCGCCCTTGCCAGCGCCCATGCCAGCACCTTTCTCTTTGCCCTTTGTCTTGGCTTTGGCTTCCTTCCTCAGCTTCCTAAGTTCTGCATGCGCTGACTTCTCGACCTCTGCTAAGGCGTCTATCCAGTCCTCCTCCTCCTCGTCGCCGATAGCTTCGCTCTCGTCTGCCTCCGCTGCCACGCCCTCATCAGCCTCTTGCGCGGGATCCACGGGCGCCGAAAAGCGAGCGTGGATCCGCTGCCTCTCGACGCGGGCCTCGCGCTTGTCCTGTCCTGCCCCCCCGCCGCGCGCCCCTCTAGCAACGCGCGGCTGAGCCCGTCTCGCCGAGGGCGCGCAGGACTCGCGCGGGCAAGCAACCAGCGCCCACAGTGAATAGCGGGGGGGCGAGGGGATCGGCAAGAGAGGAGCAGGAGCAGGATGAAAAAGGAACGGGAAAGGGGGGGCGGAGGAGGAGGAGGAATAGTGGAACAGCAGTGAACAGATGGATGAGGAGGAGACCCAGGAAGAGGAGGTTGATTGGGAGGAGGAGGAGGAGGAGCAGGAGGAGGAGGAGGAGAAGAGGAAGAAGAAGGAAGTGCCCCTCGCACGCTCTACCTTGGCCAGGATCCCCCGCCCCCCCCTCCTCCAATCGCCGCCATCGCGTCTCGAGTTGAGCGAGGCTGGGGAAGGGGGCCAGGCGCGAATTGCTCAACATGCAACGTGCAGCATGCCTGGGTGCTGGGGGAGACGACTCGGGAAAGCCTGCCAGTTGCTCAACGGGGGCCCTGGGCAATTCCGCAGGGGGTCGCCCGTTCTGCCGCGGCTCGGAACTCCTCTGTAAAGCCAGCAGAGCCATTGCCAAGAGGTCTGATGTACTTTGATAATCGCGCTCTGTCTCAAAATCCTCAGCCGCGACCTCGACGTCGCAAGGTCTGACCAACGTGACGACGGGGGGGGGTCTCTGGCATTTCACATACAGTTTTTGCCACAATCCCCTCACCTAGGCCCGGGGGTGAATGCGCCAGTCTGCAAAGGCAGCGACTGAAGAAAAAAAGAATAAGACAAAAAAAGAGAGAAAACAACGACATGAAGAAACAAAAGGCGTTCTGCTCGACCAGAGGCGCTAAACTCAGGATTGCCCCCGCCAATTCTGAGCCACGAGGATGGTCAGAGAACCTCACAATCTCACAAATGAAAAGAGCCTTTAGATAGCTCAAGATCGGCGCGACGCGATGCACACCCTTGCAACGAACGAGAAAGAATTGCCCGGGATTCAACTTCGCCCGGCGAGAAGATACGATCAACTAATCTTCGAACAATGCCGCAGCGCGGCCCACGACGCCACGAGGGTGGCGCGATGATGAGCATGCTGGGAAAGTGCCTAAACAATAGAACTGGGCCTTGACGTCGCCCAGGAAACGTGGGTCAGGCATCTTTTTGCCCCCGGCATAGTTGGACCATTCGTGGCATGTTCGTTGTATAAAGTGAGGCGCGCTCATAAGTTATTCCAATGATTTCTTCTTCAATGGCCAATGCGAATGTCCTAACCCCCAAGGTAACTTCACACACCCCACATCCTCTGCCGCAAGACTAGCCAGCTGTCGGCTTGCAACGTGCAGCGGGCCCAAACCCTGATTGACCACAGCCCCCCTTCCTCTCGCAAGTTGCGCGCGCCTGCCCCCCCCCCCGACCCTTGGCAAGAGCCCCCAAGCTGTCATGGCTGGCCCCATGCGCGGCCCGCGCTCTGCCATGTACTCGGGAGGGGGAGGAAAAAGAGGAAGAACACCCCTCGACCGCAGCCAGCTAACGCGCGCGCTGAGTTTACCCAGGGAGATCGTTTCTTTTGTGTTGCCGCTCGGTGCCTGGCCGACAGTCAAGCGTGGATCAATGTTTCCCATGGTTCTTATATTCTTTTAAACATATGAAGAGCGCGTCTGGCTGCGACGTCGCCAGCGCCAACTGAACTCCAAGCTTTGATCATCCACCTCCAGAATGAAGCGAAGCTACATTCTCAAAGCGCAGTCGATACTACCACCCTGCAGAACATTTCATTGGCAAGCGCACGCAAGTCAGGGCCAAAGAAATCATCGGCCGAATGGCACCTCGCCTTGAGCTTCTTTCCCAACCCCACACCAAGGCAACATAAATCTGCATCCTATATGCGCCGCGCCTCCGCGCGACGCCCCGATCCCCCGCTACTTATCTCATGCTGCCCATGCGGCGCCTGGCCCGCTGCATGCTACGCTGCGTCGCGGGCCCTCCGAGCCGCGGCGCTAACTCATGATGCGGCGCGCAACGATGATAAACAACCCCCTTTCTCCTCCTCGCCTTTCTCCGGCCATCCTCGCCGCGCCCCTTCCTTGCGTAGGTTCTCCCTTTACAAGGGCCTAGCGCGCAGCGTCAATGCCCAGCGACGCCCTCCCAAACCCGCGCCCCGGCAGGGTTGCCAGGGCATGGGGGAGACCAGGCGCGGGCGAGCATCACTGGACGCACAAGTTGGAACGTCGCGTTCTAGCGGGGTCACCAGAGCACGGCGGCCACCCCGCGCCCCGTCGAGGAGGTCGAGGAGCAGGAGCGAGCGAGGAGGACACGGAAGAATAAAAGGAAGATGATGAAGAAGAGCGGGCGTCAGTCACCAGGGGCGCCCCCAAACGCACGAGCGGGGAACTCAGGCTCGCTTCCACAGCAGCCCTGATGCTACCTGCTCGCATGCAGCACGCATTGCGCCCTCCTTCCCCCCCTGCCCCCCCCCCGCCCCCCCCATTCCTCCACGGGTGCGCGATCGTCGAATAGTTGTGCATACCTCCGCGGCGGTCGGCCGCAAAGCCAGGCAAGCCCCCCCCCCCCCCGCGGTCTCCCCATCACCCAGCAAAAGCCCTGATCTAGCTGAGTCCATCAGGCCAGCCGGCCAGGCCGTGTCGAATCGATCACATATTACCTGCCAGCCTGAAAGATGCCCAGGTACATCTGGGATCAACGTGGACGTCAGCCGCGGAGCGCCTTCGCTGCCCGGGGCGCCCCCACCTTCGCGAGATCGAACGCGGGGGGCGGGGTGGGGTGTGGGGGGGGGGGGGGGGGGGGGGCGAGTAGTCGGGGCGTCGCCTGGGTCGCCGAAGCGCATTCCAATAGCATCTCTGACCATGCGATTACGCAAGCGCATGAGAATTTGTGAAATATGGAGCCAGCAGAGAAGATATGCAATGGTCATCGGTTGTTTCACCCAGGTGCAGCGATTTTCTGGCCCCCATTCGTTCCTCCTTGATCCGCGCCCTTCTCTGGTCTTGCGGAAGACCAACAGCTGCCCCATAATCCCGGGCGCCGCCATCCTCAACTTCTATGCGGCCGCCGCCATCTGCACTCCCTGGAACCGCCAAAGCGCGGGCGCGCTCGACGGCCCGAAAGACGATTGAATGAATACAGAAACCAAGCGACATCTGAGCTACAGCTGCAATCGGAAATAGTTGAGTCCACTTGTTAAGCGCTGGCGTCGCAATGTTCGTCCTAGCACGCCCATGGCTGCTTCGAAGGTTTCCCGCATTGCTTCATTCTCGTTGCGACAACACCTGCCATCGCTGAAATGATGAATGCGTCGTGACCTCCAATCGCCTCTGCAGACGGACAACAGCTTTCTACCTCGGACCAGCTTGGTGGACAGCTGAAGCTCGTGCACTTTGCTGTCGTCTGCGCATGCCGCCACAACGTCAAAATCCGCTCCGTAATGACACGACCCCAGCACATGTTCAGCGAAGATGGCATCTTCCCGCTTTGGGTCGCCATGATCCTCTGGAGCGATTCGCAGCACGCTCGCACGAATGATGGGGCATATCCCGTCAAGGTTGTTGGAATGGAAGTTGCCAACGTGGATGAGCTTGACCGCGCAGAGCAGATTGCACAGGAGTTTGAAGGAGGTCGTAGCCGGGGCGAGGCAAAGTCCTGTAGCGCGCTGATCGCACACTCTCTGGATCCAATACACGCCGCCTGGTAGGTGCCTCGACAAATAAGCCCACGACCGCATCATCGAACGAGCGCGGTCACTCCCAAATAATACTCCAACCAGCGGGGCGCCAGGGAACATGCCCTGCCCTGCAACCATCGCTTCGCACGGCACCCCCTCATCCCCATCAACACTCGCGTCACGCGCGTCACGCGATCATGCCACATGCCACAGGGTGGGCGAGGTGGCTCAAATCCAAACACTGCATGACAAAACAACTCCTCCTTTCCCCCCCTCTTGGGCTGCGTGGCTCAATGCGTTGCCAACGCTATCATTATCCCCCCTCTCGTCTTCCCCCAACTCCTCCAAATCCCCGCGCCCCTCCCAATCCTTCTCATCCATATCCTCGCGTTGTTCCTCCCCGCCCCACTATCCCCCCCGCCCCCCTCCTGCGCTTCCCTTCCAACCCCCCGCGCCCCCCTCGCGCTCGCCCCCCCCCATCGCGCGCGCCCGACTTCTCCCGGCCCTTGCGCCCCTCCGCGCGCCTGCAACTTGAGCGACTATTGCTTCTGCGCCGCTGGAGCCACGCAGCCCGCGGCCTGGCCCCGCGAAAGACAGGGGCCAGGGGGGGGCCGGGGGGGGGCGGGGGGGGGGCACGAGCGACCGCGCAAGCACAAATCGGGCGCTCGGCAGACAATCAGTCGAGCGAAAAGTGGGAACAGAAGGAGGCAGACGTAGGCCACCCACCGACACGAAAAGATGAAGAGGAGGGGACTGAACGACATCACATATCCCAAGTGGCGGGGCCCCCTCCCCGCCCCTCCTCCTCCCCCCCCCCATCCTCCTCCTCCTCCTCCTCATCCTCCCCTCCTCCCCCCCCCCTCCTCCTCCTCCTCCTCCTCCTCCTCCCTCCTCCTCCTCCTCCTCCTCCTCCCTCCTCCTCCTCCTCCTCCTCCTCCTCCTCCTCCTCCTCCTCCTCCTCCTCCTCCTCCTCCTCCTCCTCCTCCTCCTCCTCCTCCTCCTCCTCCTCCTCCTCCTCCTCCTACCTCCTCCTCCTCCTCTTCCTCCTCCTCCTCCTCCTCCTCCTCCTCCTCCTCCTCCTCCTCCTTCCTCCTCCTCCCCCCTCCCCGCCCCTCCTTGTCTTGCGGTCCGATGTCGTCTTGCGGTCATGAGTCATCAGTCACCAGCGATCATCAATGGTTCCAAACAGCGCAGTTCTGCTGGGGCCCAGGCGCGCGCCTGCGAGGAAACCTCGGATTGCGCCGTGCCCCGTGGCCCCCCAAGGCCATATCCTCATCAAGGGCCTCCTGGAGGGGCGGCGAGAATGCCCCCCCCCCCGGCTGGGCTTTAGCAAGCCGGTGCAATTGCACAACGTCGCGCTCACACATCGGCCCGGCGACGACATCTCCGCTCAATGCTTCGCGCCCTGCCCCCCATTTTATTGTTTGTTTTTTTTATATATTAAATATTTTTTTTATTTTATATTTTTTTTTTTTTTTTAAAAAAAAAAAAAAAAAAAAAAAAAAAAAAAAAAAAAAAAAAAAAAAAACCTCCAAGATCATGGGAGGCGCGATGACTTCTTCGCCCCGCCCGACGCCGTCGGCGGCACGCCAGGCCTGGCGGCCGCGGCTGGAAAACAAGGGCACAGCCTGCTCCGCAACGCGCGGCGACATGGACACAAGGTGGACGGGGAGGGCGAGGAGAACGACGGCGATGGATGAACGACGACGCCCTGACAACGACAAGATGGCCTGGGAGGGCGAGCTGGCAGGCGCTGACCTCCTCCTAGCCTGAGCGCCCCTCCGGCGCCCGCGGGCGTGGAGTGGCCGCGATGGCTTCGGGTGCCAGGGAAACGGGCGCTGCACCTTCCTGCCTGGGGTGTGTGGGATCTCGGCGGCGGGGCCCGGCCAAGAGTCAGCAATGGGGTATCGGTTGCATGAGGCTCTGCGGCGTGTATTGTGGCGGCACGTCCGGAGTGGCTCGCAGATCCAGAAACACTCGGGGCGAGATGTGTTATCGGAGGCAGCGAGCAACCAGCAAGCCACGGGGGGACCAGCAGTCCAGCGGGTCAGCCGCCCGGTTGGTGCCGGCCCAAGGGCCCACCACACGCAGACTGCATCGTGCATGTCACACACGTTGTGTTGAGAATTTGGGAGTGGTCAATATTGTTACAGCAAATGTGCAAGGCATGAGTCACGTCAGAGCCGATTCTCGCCTGAAGTGGGCCGGCATCGTCGATGAGGCCCGGGCGGGGGATTGGGACATTACGCTGTTATCAGAGATGCATGCTCCAGATGACAATTGTGATTGTATTGTCCGTGTGGAGGAATACACTGTCGTGATTGCTCGGAGTGCTGCCATCATGCTCAGCCCCGCTGTCGCCAAGCTGTGGTGGGATCAGTACGTGGCGCCCACATTTTCGCCGTCAGGCAGGGCTGTCGCATTACACATCGCCATAGGTGGTCGGAAGTATGCTTTTGTTTCTGTGTACGCTCCGCACGCCGAGCGGCCAGCATCTGAACGAGAGGCGTTCCGCGACGAGCTGACGACCCTCCTTGCCGCAATCCCTGCGGGGACGGCTCGCATTGCAGGGGGCGACTGGAATGCTTCCATTCATGCTGATATGGCTGCGCGGCTTGGCTGTGGGACTCGTCTGCTGCCCGGGAGCACGTCGTCGCACGCTCAGGACGTCCTGGGGTGCCTGAACGACAGTGGCCTGAGCCACCTGGACTCGCACCTGGCTACCAGGCACCGTGCGACGTTCCGCTTCCCTCAGCAGACGATGGCCGCGAACCGCTGGCGGGAGTACGACTACTTCGCCACGGACATGCCGTGCTCTGCTGGCCTCTGGTGCCAACTGCGGACAGGGGCCCTGCCGTTCGGGGACCACTTCTTCAAGAGGGCCCGCCTTCAGCTGCCGGCGGCGCCGGGGGCCAAGGAGCGACGTCTGGCAAGAGGCCCCCCGGGCACTGTCCAGTCTGGCTTCGGCGACGGAGCTCGGCATGTGGGCCCCATCCGACGCGAGTGGATGCAGGGCCCTTCCGCCGCAGCCACCGCGTTGAGGGAGCAGTACTCCGCGGCGGCAGACGCGGCACTGGACGCTCGGGGCGCGCCAGAGGACGAGATGGCCTGGGACGACCTTGCTGCGGTGCTCAGGGTCTCTGCTGCGGGCGTCGTCGGCCGCTCCGCGGGCGTCAAGGTTGAATGCCCGTTCGTCGCCCAGCTGCGCACGATTGGTCGTCAGAATGCCACTGAGCGGCGGCTGGCCTGGGACGCCGTGCGTCGCGCCCGGGGCACGCCTGGCGAGGAGGTCGCAGTGGCCGCTCACCGTGAGACTCGCAGGCGGCATCGGCTTGAGCACCGACAGGCCCGGGCACGACTCGTCAAGGAAGTGGCGGCCGACCTGACCCGGGCAGCGGCCGACAACGACACGGGAGCACTGTACCGAGGCCTTCGCCGCCTGGGCGCGTGGCTGAGCGACCTCGCCCCCACGGAGGCCCTGCCGTTCACTCCGAAGGATGCTCGCGACCACCTCCTGAAGCTGGACGAGGCTGCTCCGGCGGTGGACGCTGCTGCGCTGGACACGGTCCCGCCGCACGTCTGGCGCGACGCCCTCCCGCCGGGCATGTCCGACCTCGCGGAGCCTCCCTCGGCCGACGAGGTACGCGCTGCCATGCGTGCGATGCGGGATTCTGCCCCTGGAGACGACGAGGTCAGCATCGGCATGATCCGGGCCGCCAGCGCCAGGGTCCAGGAGCAGGTCATCCGCCTAGTGCAGCAGATGCGGGTGGCCCCGCCAACCGCCTGGAGGGACCAATTCGGCGAGACGCCTTTTCGGGGTTTGCAGATATTGTTGTTCAAGAAGAAGGGGCTGCGGACGGATCTCAACAACTACAGAGGCATCTGCCTCCTGTCGGTGTTGTCGCGGATTCTTGCCAAGACGGTGGCCACCCGCCTGGCCCGATGGGCAGAAGAGGCTGGGGTCCACTCCAACACCCAGTGGGGGAACCGAAAGTATCGGTCCACCCGCGACGCCATTCTGGTGGCGAGGGCGACAATGGAGGAGGTGACCAGACTGCCCCGGGCGCCTGGCGAGAACACGCTCTGCTTGATTCTGTTTGACATCATGAAGGCGTTTCCTTCTGTTCCTCGCCCGCTATTACGTGCTGTCCTTATACGGCTGGCGCTCCCCGCAACCCTCGTGGACCTGGTGATCGGCCTACACGACGTCACCTTCTACGTCGTGCGGACGGCTGCGGGCGACTCCGACCCCTACTGCCTCAGGAGAGGCGTGCGGGAGGGATGCCCTACCTCTGGCTTGCTCTTCACACTGTACCACGCGGTGGTAATGGCCGCGATTCTGCCGAAGCTGCCCAAAACTTTGGTCACTTACGACCCAGAGCGGCCCCTCCCGAGGGCGGCGCCCGCAGCGGAGACGAAGCAGACCCCGGTGCTGGACACGCTCTGCTTCGTCGACGACACGACGGTGCTGCAGGAGAAGCGCCACTGTGCCGCCACGGAGCAGGTTGTCAGCGACGGCCTGCGGGCGTTCGGTTCCCTGATCCACCCGGGCAAGACCGAGCGCTACCTTCCGCACGGAGCGGCTCCGGCCACTGGCGCCGAGCCCGCCTGGCAGCCCGCCGCGAGGCTGCTAGGCGCTTGGTTCGACGCAGATGGCTCGTACGTTTCTGACGACAACCACCGCTTGGAGGCTGCTCGGAAAGCTTGGCGGGCCCTCTGGAGGCAGATGCCCAGGCTCGGGCTGACCGTGCGGCAGCGGGGCTCCATCGTGCAGGCAGCTGTCATATTCAGCCTCCTCTACGGCGCAGAGGCGAGAGCCTTCCACTCGACCACCATCGTGCGGTACCAGCGGTTCGTCGACAGAATGGTGCGGGGGCTCACAGCGTGCCGTCTCCGCTCCATGAGGGGCCTCAAGACGGGTACCGACCTGCGCAGGGAAGCTTGCATCCAGTCGATCGAGGTGCAGGTGAAGCGACGCCAGTATCAGTACTTGGGACACGTCGCCCGGTACCCGCCGGAGCGGGTCGAGCGCTGCATCCTCGGCGCCTGGATCCCAGGTGTCTCGGACTTGACAATGGGCCGCGGGGAGGGCAATCGTCTGCGGCTGCGCACGCAGTACTGGACCCGCATCCGGGAGG